TATCTATCTATCTATCTATCAAAATCTCTCCCTCTCTCTTTATAAAATAAAAAAATAAAAAATGTAACCTAATATCCATACTTATACTTGATGTAAAAATAATCCTACTTACTATAAGGGATTCTAATACATTTAACTGTTCTTAAAAAAAATATAGTATAATAAAAATTAAAAATGAGAATATTTCAAATCGGAGTTAAATAAAAATTATTCTAATCTGAACACCCGCGAAAATCTTTTTAATTTACAAATAGAAAAAAATGCCGTAAGAATTTTTTTGCCGTTAACAATAAATTTTAAAAAAATCCAGACGACATGCATTCAACGGATGTCAGTTTTCATTGAAAAATACATCCCTACCCCTTACCAAAATGTAGCTAATAACCGATACAATGATGCAGACATAAGGAAAACCCAGGCACCCCTTGTCCAGTTGAAGTAGATTTATCTGTAACCATGGAAACGTAATTTTAGCTGTGTCTTTAAAACCCAGTAATTTTAAAAGTTACTCCAAAATTCGCTTGAGGATGAAATGGAACTAATGTCTTTAATTTAATTGCAAAATTAAGTTCGTGGCTTTTAGCTTCCATTTTTGAAACATGGTTAGAACTGTGTAGCGAAAAAAACATATTTTAAATCAATTAATGCTCTGTAAATTTACATCGAGCACTATTTTGTAAAAATAAAAATACCTATAAGAACACCGGATTATATATCTTACTTTTCTTTCTTTCTTTATATATATATATATATATATATATATATATATATATATATATATATATATATATATATATAAGTCTGTTTATATCTGTCTGTCTGCTTATCTATCTATCTATCTATCTATCTATCTATCTATCTATCTATTTTTACTATAAACATTAGTTTCACCTATCATGATGGATGTACGTTCTCTCAATGAGACTCTTCGTCTTGAACGTTTACTGGGACTCAAGCTCCCTCCAGGCCTCAAGTGTAAGATACGAAAAATTCTCGGTTCATAGAATCGCTCCGTTAAGTATTTGACTCTCCTTACTATAGTCTTTTTTTTCAAGAACCAGATAAGACTAAAAATGGAATATTGCTGCCATAGCTGGAGAGTTGCCCAGTGGTCACTCGCCTGTGAAGTTCGCATATACGATCCATCGCGAAAGATGCTGGGAAAATGGTCTGTTCATTGTACATCTCTAGTAAGTATCTGACTTCACCTGCTATGGTCCCTCTTTATAAGACCAGGATCAGACCTAAAATAGAGTATTGCTGCCACGTTTGTGCGAGAACTGCCCAATTCATTTTTCAGCCTTGACAGATTTCAAAAGCGTTGACGCGGTCTTATGGGTGATGAATTATTTTTTCAACCTACAATCTCTTCCCGACCGACAAAATGGTGCTTGCTTCTGGCTGCTCTGTCATTTACACAAGCTCGTTCTTCTATGTACCATGTCCCTGCAGCACGTTGGCGATCATGGCTCTCCACAATTTCCTGTCCTTTGTAGATCTTAATAAATGTTGTCTTTTTTATCATCTCTTTTAAACACTGTTCTACCAACCATTTAGTCAAGCGCGTTCTTCTTCTTCTTCTTCTTCTTCTTCTTCTTCTTCTTCTATATGCTATGTCCTTTCAAGGAGTTGCTGTTCATGGGTCTCCACAGTTTCCTATCTTTGTAGCTCTTCATAAATATTGTCTTTTCATTATCTATTCTTATCCCTTTTCTGCCAAGCGTTTATACAAGCTTATTCCATTTTTTACCATGTTGCGTGTTCCTTCAAGACGTTGGCGATCATGGCTCTCCACAATTTCCTATCATTTGTAGATCTTAATAATTGTCTTTTCATAATATCTTCTAAATCCCCTTCTGACAACCGTTTACACAAGCTTGTTCTTTTATGTACCATGTCACCTTCAGCATGTTGACGATCGTGGCTCTCCACAATTTCCTGTCCTTTGTAGCTTTTAATAAATGTTGTCTTTTCATTATCCCTCCTAATCCCTTTTCTGTCAAGCGTTTACACAAGCTCATTCTTTTTTTTTTTTAACCATGTGGCGTGTTCCTTCAGGACGTTGGCGATCATGGCTCTCCACAATTTCCTGTCCTTTGTAGCTCTTAATAAATTTTCTCTTTTTATCATCTCTTCTAAGCCCTATTTTTTCAACCATTTAGTCAAGCTCTCTAAGTACGTCATGCGTGTATCACATTTTCCAAGCCTTCTTTTCTCATCATGTTCCCTAGAACTTTTCTTGACGTTAAGAATAAATGGAGTTTTTGTTTCTATTTTCTTTAAAAGTTCGTCGTTGGGCCCCCAAATGTTCTTTGCTCAGAGGCCCTGGTTAAGGGTGTGACTAAGGAAAATTATGACTGAAACCCTATACTTCAGCAATCTACAGGCCTTGTGCCGCACATTGAAATTTTTTCACACGATCTTAAATACGGTAGGCAGGAGATTGTATGTAAGTATTTATATGTAATATGATTTTTAGACTTTGTAGTCAAGCTAGATTAATTCGCGCCCGAATTAGCAAAGAAACGCCAGTTTTAATGCTTCGTTTAATTTCGTTTAATTCTTGCAGACTTGCGAATGAATTAGTCGTCATCTTATAAATAAAATGGCGACCAGTATATGTACGATAGAATTAAAAGGCAAATAATTCGCTTGTTACACTCGCAAACTATTGATAGTATTCCATTTGTGTGTCTTTCATGAATTTGTAACTTTGAAGCACTAGAATATAAGCTTCGATATTTGTATTAATCGGCAAGCACAGAGTTTTTTTTTCGGACGACATCTTGCGAAGACGAAATGTCATGAACTCCCATTTCGTCATTTTTCTGCATTCGTTCACACGTACGCACATAGATATTTATATATACGTAAACACATGAATATTTACATATACTTACACACATGAATATTTACATATACGTACACACATGGAAATTTACATATACGTACACACATAAATATTTACATATACGTACACACATGGATATTTGCATATACTTACACACATATATATTTACATATACGTACACAAATGAATATTTACATGTACGTACACACATGAATATTTACATATACGAACACATATAAATTTGTTTATATATATTTACACACATGGATATTTGCATATACGTACACATAGATATTTAAATATACGTACACAGGTCAATATTTACATATACGTACAAACTTGTTTGACCTACATGCACAAATACTTGATTAAATCATGACCCCCCACTAAAAAACCCGAATCAACACGTTCTGTTAGAGTCTATTTAAAAAAAATCATTTTACATTAAGCAAGGCAATAAAGCCTCAAAGACGCAAAGGGAGGGGGCACTGAGTGTGAGAACATATGAGAAAAAGAAAAACATTATTAAGGAGAGAGAACCATAACAGATTATGAAGACAGGAGATAGCGATTGACGTTGTATTTAACTTTTTGAAGACAAAGTTGACTGGGGGGGGGGGCAAGAACCCGGATGAGAGTTCCACAAGCGAGAAGTTAGCATCGAACTTATGATTGCATCTCGACATTTCAACTGTAAAATGATGAGACCTAGCCGCCAATCTAGTAATGCGCTTAAATTCATAAAGTCTAGGTACCACAGAGGAAAGTTCATCAGAACAATTACAGTCGTCCCTCGTTTATCGCGGTTAATCCTTTCCCGACCCATCCGCGATAAGTGAATTTCCGCGAAGTAGGATTCTTTATTTATAAATCGAATATTTTCATAGTTAGAACATAGAAAACGTGTTTACGATCTTCTAAATATGGTTTTTGACATTATATGATCTCTCTAGACCTAAAATACTATCTCCGTAGTAACCTTTACACTTATATCTCTATCTATAAAAGGCAGGATGTGTGTGTGTGTGTGTGTGTGTGTGTAACGAATGCACGGCCGCAATTTTCGTCGGATTTGCACCAAAATTTACATGCACATGCTCCAAGTTAGCGGAGAAGGCCAACACCGACTTTGCATTTCCCAACTCCCATCAACAGTCGAAATAATCAATTTTTTTCATGCTTCTACGGAAGTTTTCATGTAGTTTACGGCCATTTTCTACTGGCCAGAGTGAGAGCCTATAGCTGGCTGCCACGAATAGGCAGGAAGATTCTATTGGCCAGCGTGAGAGCCAATAGCTGACTGACACGTATGTTAACTAGCGTGCGAAAAAAAAATCGATGGCTGCATTCGTCACAAGTGGGAAAAATTTAAATCTGCATAGCACTTTACTCCAATTGGCTCATTCGCATGCTTAAACTCAACGTTGATTCTGATTCCGCAGAACTGGGTTGGGTGTGAAAAAGTATTTGTTGTTAACATTCTTTTTTCATTCGGTTTTTCCAGTTACGAGTCCTTTTTTAAAGCTGATCGTTTTGTGTTCATTTTGTTTAGTTCTTTTTTCGTAACAGATTTAATGTTTAGTATAGAGCTTAGAAAAAGTCCGCAGTGTGAGATAGGCAAGAAGTAAGGCATGTAGCAACATCAGCACGGCGAAGGGCACTCCTTTAAAGGCAAGAAGGGCAAAAATATTTTAAGTCAATTGATAGCGATTGCTGTATGAGTCGTACGATTTTTGAATCCAGCACGGGCAACGCCGGGCCATGCTGCTAGTAACCTAATATATTAGACTAAATAAGAGAAAATAACATATATTAGACGTTATAAATATCATATTACTATTATTATACATTAAAATCACACAAAAAGTTCTTACATGTATATCGCTTCATCATCGAACAAGTTGCATTATTTTCCTTAGGTTATTGTGAACTTAGGAAAATAATGCAACTTATTCGATGATGAGGCAATGGAGAGATATACTGCTCAATAAAGGTTACTGCTTTTCTAAAGCATGATTTCAGTAGAAGAGTCTTTAGGTGCTGTGTCATCATCTTCTGCTGAAGGCATTCTAGGCTTAGGTGGAGGGTGTCTAAATATGCGGCTGAAAAACATTGTGATAGGCAGTTGCTGGCACTCTCATTTCACTGCATGAGGAGGCTTTTGTAGGGTTCCATCACTCCATCAAGAGAATTCCGTAATCGTAATGCATGTATCATTTGTGGGTCCCATTTGCCAATCATGTTCTGTACTTCCTTAATAGTTCTCACGACTTGTGTGAGACGCTCAAGTGTAAGGCCAACTTCCTACTCCTAACCCCCAGGAGCTTCCAGTTGCTCTTCCTTCACCCCACGGTCATCACCACCAATTCCTCGTCAGTTGAGGTATGTAAATATGTCTTCAGCAGCTAATCCACGTCATCGAGGGTCATATCGGCAAAACCTCCTCCTCCCAGTATCAACACACAAAGCAAAATACAAAGCAAAATAACACACAGAGTTCTTACGTGAACATCGCTCCATCATCGAACACGTTGCATTATTTTCCTTAGGTTAGTGTGAACTTGTTTGATGATGAAGCGATGAAGAGATGCCCTGTACAACAAAGGACTCTGGTCCTCTAAATCATTTGCATAAATATTCTTTATACTTTGAAAGGACAAAAAGCACAATTTGATGTTTTCTTTTAAGCACATCCTTGAAATCAATTAACCTATTTGCATAAATATCTTTGTAAGTAATTTTGGTTTTGTTGCCAAAAATAAAATTTGGCTTTATTTTAATCAAATATTATTACCTTGTTGTTTTGTACTCGGTTTGTTGCCAACTTACTATCTTCTGAACAATTTTGTTTGCTATCTGTCTGTATTTCTGAGATGAGGTATTATGTACATTATTGACATTATTCGGACTATTGTCCTTATCTTTGTCGCCATATTTATCACAACGTTTCGGTCTTTCAGTATCTGTCTATATTTCTGAGATGAGGTATTATGTACATTATTGACATTATTCGGACTATTGTCCTTATCTTTGTCGCCATATTTATCACAACGTTTCGGTCTTTCAGTATCTGTCTATATTTCTGAGATGAGGTATTATGTACATTATTGACATTATTCGGACTATTGTCCTCATCTTTGTCGCCATATTTATTACAATGTTTCAGCCTTTCAGCATCTGTCTATATTTCTGTGATGAGGTATTATGTACATTATTGACATTATTCGGACTATTGTCCTCATCTTTGTCGCCATATTTATTACAACGTATCGGCCTTTCAGTATCTGTCTATATTTCTGTGATGAGGTATTATGTACATTATTTACATTATTCGGACTATTGTCCTCATCTTTGTCGCCATATTTATTACAATGTCTCAGCCTTTCAGTATCTGTCTATATTTCTGTGATGAGGTATTATGTACACTATTTACATTATTCGGACTATTGTCCTCATCTTTGTCTCCATATTTATTACGACGTTTCGGCCGTTGTAGGATCCGGCCTTCTTCGGGTGGTTGGAATGTCGGACACATGGCACAGTGGATAAAAGTGTTGGTTTTGTCCAGTGACAGGACCCAAAGAGTGTGAGTTCAATACCCGGTTAAGGCAGTGGAGAACTTTCAGAAGGGAATTAACAGGAGATAACTGACAACTGACATCCATTAAAGATGGCACGTGGAACTAGAACAGTTTACCCCAATGAGCGAAATAAAGGCTTCAGTTCGACATTCCAACCACCTGAAGAAAGCCGGAGCTATGTCTGTCACCAGGACTCTGCGCCGAAACGTTGTAATCAATATGGCGACAAAGATGAGGACAATAGTACGAATAATGTAAACAATTTTGTTTGCGGACTCCTTTGTACCAACAGGCAGCCAAACACATGACCAACAAGTGATCCACAGCATACCCGCAACAATAGCCAATCAGTGAACAGCATGTTCTGATTGCCTTGGTTTCACCACAGCCGATTTTTGAATAATAGGCCTGGAAAAAAGTTCTTGCCTACACAAAAGAATGGTCAAGGGCTGCTCTTGGCGTTAAAGGATTTGCGGGAGTGCTCAAATACATAGGCCTACAGTAATTTTAATACAGGGGTTTATATTTGACTCAGACAACCGAGCGGGCGCTGTATTATTTTCACTGTCTCGATCAACTGAAGGATCGGCTGCAAGAACTTTTTTTTCCAACCCTGTAGTAGACTGTATCCAACCGCGAACCGCGATGTGATTTTAATGAAAAGATCTGAAAAAAAAAACGCGATAGAGTGAAGCCACGAAAGCCGAAGCGCGAAGTGGGAGGGACGATATATATATATATATATATATATATATATATATATATATATATATAATGTGTGTGTGTGATGCATAACGCGTGCTTGCGTGTGTGTGAAATTTCGGATATTACCAAAAATATATCTACAAAAGAACAATATGTATAAACACAAAAGGAAAACTTATCTTATCCGACACGTTTCATCTTCTGAAAAAATCCACCAGAGGACGAAACGCTTTAGATAAGTTTTCCTTTCGTCTTTATATATATATATATATATATATATATATATATATATAATTATTTATTTAAAAATTATAACATAAATATGTTATAAGATTTGTAGCGATTTTATAACATATTTATGTTATAATTTTTAAATAAATAATTATATTCGCTCTACTCTTTATTGAGCTCTCATTTAAGAATAGTAATCGTTGGTTATTGGAATTTATACCGTATACACCAATCCTATACTTGGGTATATATATATATATAGAGAGAGAGAGGGGGGGAGAGAGAGAACGATATATATTTTTATATATCAAGAACAATATTAGGAGAAAATGTCCCGAATTTCTTGGTCATGATCTTATACTCAACACGGAGGGTTACATCAAGTGCCTTGAGGAGGTAGTGCTGCTCTGGGACATGATGGTGACTGCTGGAAGCAAGAGACGCAGTCATGCCTGTCAGACAATTTCTGCGACCATTGTCACCCCTTACATCGGACCACTTAATTCCTCAGACTGCAACCCCCAGGATTATTATGTATAGGGTGCAGTGAAGCGAGAGAACAACAAAACTCCTTGTAACACAAAAGGAAAACTTATGTTAGCCGACCCGTTTCATCCTCTGAAAAATCCATCAGAGGACGAAACGCTTTAGATGAGTTTTCCATTTGTCTTTATATATATATATATATATATATATATATATATATATATATATATTATATATATAATTATAGATAACTAGACTCGTTTTCTGAAAAACCCTCGAATTTTTGATTTACTAATAATCAAATCAATCTTGAGGGAAAAAAGGTTTTAAAAAGAAAGAGCTACAAACATGAACTTCTGCCGACAAAAAAATCGCACAGTTGCAGGTCTGAAGCCCAAAGAAAAAACCCGATACGAGTAAACAACTAACTAACAAAAGAGCTCAATACAAACTGTAGAGCAGACCTAGATACACCTAGTGAGCCAGACAAACCTATCCAGGTTTCACTTAAACGGATCGTCAGGAAACTTTCCTGACCATCCGTTTAGGTGAAACCTAGGTAGGTTTGTCTGGCTCACTAGGTGTATCTATCTATCTATCTATCTATCTATCTATCTATCTATCTATATATATATATATATATGTGTGTGTGTGTGTGTGTGTGTGTGTGTGTATGCAGTTATGTAGAAAAATGGCAAAGAACACGTTAGGTAAATAATCCAGGGTTCTTTAGTATTTTTGTTTTTATTTTTAAAAAACAGTGGTCCATACAGAAGTAGAGCTTAAATTATAATTTTTTTTTTTTAAATGTGATTCCTTCGCTACATAAGAGTTCTCATGTTTCAAAAACAAGAGCCGAAACCGTCAATATAATTATTAAAATTAAATTGAATTAAGGTAACAAACCCTGTTTCATCATCAATTTAGAAATTCGCTTGAGGAGGAAACAGGGCTTGTTACTTAAATTCAATTTAATTTTAATAATTATATTGATGGTTTCAGGCTCACGTTTTGGAAACATGAGAACTCTATGTAGCGAAGGAATCATATTTTTTTAAAAATAATTATAATTTTATATATATATATATATATATATATATATATATATATATAAATATATATATATATATATAAATCTATGGTACTCGTTGGAAACCTTGAAGATTCGTTTAGGTGAAACCTAGGTAGGTTTGTCTTTCTCCTTAGGATTAATTTAGGTTACTGAAGGATCGGCTGTGTGTCTCCTCCTGAGATCTGGACAAGAACTTTTTTTTACAACCCTGTAATAGACCGTAGTCAACCGCGAAACAGCGAGGGACCGCGATATGATTTTTTAATGAAAAGATCTGAAAAAAACGCCATAGAGTGAAGCCGCGAATGTGGCGAGGGACAACTGTGTTATGAAAGTATTTATAGAAAACGCAGAGGGAAAAGAAGAAGAAGAAGAAGAAGAAGAAGAAGAAGAAGAAAAAAAAATGACAGAGAAACTCTTCACTAGCAGGGGCAGGGGAAGTCCTTCTTCGCCGATCCGAGTTCAATTTCAGGTAAATCCTGATTTGCTCACTTCACGCTATTGCCCTCGACAAAAGCATGAATGCATATTCCTCCAGCTCGGGACAAAATAGCAGTGAAGATTGGATACTATTGTTTTGGTTGGCAACCAGTCTAGGAAAAGGAAAACTTTGAATAAAAAAAGAAATCCAACATAAAGAGAAATGGACTCCGTCAGGTTATCTTGATCTAGACACTCCACAGCTGTTATGGCTTCAGTACGTGTAGTGCTCTTATGATCCGAATGGATTACTGAAGTCATAACGTGAAAGATTTTACATACACTTTTATGACACACGTATAAATATTTATTAAATTAAGAGATTTATCACAATAGATGGTATAACTTTCCTTTCTCTTCTTCAATTAATATGCACAGCGCTTAGCCGGTTATGTGATTCTTAACAACCAACGCTGTTTTTACAGAGGGACCGACTGTACGTAAACACCGGTGAGAACAAATACATTCCTAACTTGTTGGTGGACACAGCTTTTTATAACATGGCGTTTGCGATCATGGCTCTCCACAATTTCCTGTCCTTCGTAGATCTTAGTAAATGTCTTTTCATCATATTCTCTTTTGCCAACCGTTTACACAAGTTCGTTTTTCTTCTATGTGCCGTGTCCCTTCAGGAGGTTTGTGATCATGGCTCTCCACAATTTCCTGTCTTTTGTAACTCTTAATAAATTTTGTCTTTTTATTATCTCTTCTAAAACTTGTTCTGCAACCATGTTCTGCGAGTATCACTTTTTCCGAGCCCTCTTTTCTCATTATGTTCCTTAGAAAATTCAACTTTTCCTGATGGACTATAAGTGTCCTTTTTGTTTTTATTTTCTTTAAAAGTTCGTTTTTTTTTTTAAAAGACTTCTGAGTAAAGATAGCCATTTGCAACATCCGCTAGTTTTCCTATTAAGGATCAGAGAGAAGGCGTATAATAAGTTTCTATACTTTGTTAGCATGTTCCCTTTAAAAAAACAAACCCAAAAACGACATTTTATTTTTGATAATAAATGCTTGCGTAATTACCTGTACCGACAGCCAAATATTACCAAGGCCACGTGATAGGCGTTTGGTAACCCAACAATAGGATCGAATTCGTTTTAAAATGACAGATTTTTATAAACATCCATGACTGACACACGCGCAAGAACGCATAACGGCTATGTCTTAAAATAAAATAATTATTCTTATGAGTTATACCTCGACTAATCCCATCTTAAGATTTAGAGTTAAGCAACGCCTTTCCAAAGACCCAATTCCAGGAAATATAAGCGGAATTTCGGAAATGGAGGTGAAGTTCTCTATAGAAAGCTGCTCCGGATATAGATCTATCTTTTGATTCAGACTGATTTCACGCATTTTGTCATTTCGTTTTAGAATTTTATTTTTTTAAAAATATATTAACAACGTTTCGGAGGTATATCTTTTGGTCTTACTCTTCACTTCAATACGATGAAATTCTGGAAAACTACAGACATCCAAGGAAGGTTAGAGAGTGCACGGCCGAAATACAGTGATAGAAAGAAAAAAAAACATAGAATAAATTAGTCATTAGAAATAAAACACAGCAACAAAAATATTCTGCGAAGACTGAATCTATCTATCTATCTATCTATCTATCTATCTATCTATCTATCTATCTATCTATCTATCTATCTATCCCAGTCTGTTCATTATCTATTCATTCATTCATCTATCTATCTATCTATCTATCTATCTATCTATCTATCTATCTATCTATCTCAGTCTGTTCATTATCTATCTATCTATCTATCTATCTATCTATCTATCTATCTATCTATCTATCTATCTATCCTTGTCGCCTTTATATCTACCTATTTATGTTTATATGTCAGTACATTTTTGTAGTTAATAGGCAAAGAAAAGTAAAAACAAACATTTTTTTACGTCAATTTTTGCAGATACACAGCACGTCAAGATCAGATTTAATCATTTAATCATTATAGGCGAGTGATAGATCTGAAAATTGAAGTCGGGAAGATATGTCATTTGAATTAACTATTGTTGGTCTTTTTCTTTCTTTTTTAATGTTGAGCACTTTGTTTACAAATATCTTCTCGCCTTTAAACTAGTTAAGCACAAGTAATTTACTGGACTAATTGTAATTGTTAGGCGTTAACATTCTGTATATATATATAGTTCAGCACATTATTTATCTCGACGTTTTTATTTAAACCTATCTATCTATCTATCTATCTATCTCAGTTAACACACCTCTCTTTCTCTCTCTCTCTCTCTCTCTCTCTATATATATATATATATATATATATATATATATATATATGAAACTGCACATATCTATCAATTCATTTACTTTCTTTCTGCACTTCTATGTTCTGCACATTATTTATCTGTTTACATGTCAGCAAATATCTATCTATCTATCTATCTATCTATCTATCTATCTATCTATCTATCTATCTATCTGGTTTACATCAGTATGACAGTATCTATCTATCTATCTATCTATCTATCTATCTATCTATCTATCTATCTATCAATTACACACTCTCTCTCTCTCTCTCTCTATATATATATTTATATCAGTCTTCAGATATACCTATATTCAAGTTTGTTTCTATCTATCTATCTATCTATCTATCTATCTATCTATCTATCTATCTATCTATCTCAGTATATTCAATGGGTATCTATCTATCTATCTATCTATCTATCTATCTATCTATCTATCTATCATTTTGTTTTCTGGGTTCTGTTTCTTACATATGTATGTATGTATGTATGTGTGTATGTATGTATGTATAACTTTATGTTAGTCTTTTCATAGCTCTCTCCCTCTCTCTCTCTTTCCACCCTATCTGTCTATATCTACAAGTTACTTACTCACCTTCTAGTGAAATGTGTGTGCCTAAAGACAGACATATTATCAACTGTACAAGTCGTACTCACCGAAGAGAAGGACGAAATGGATCACTGGTTGGGATAGTTGAAGGAAAGATCAATATACAGAAGCTTTTCCACCATTAATTACTCAGTAGAAATATTTGGTCACTGATTGCTAATAGCTTTTGTTAAGTCTTGTTGGCTCTTGCATTAAGTTGTAGCATTGTCTTATTTGCGAGTGAAATCTAAGATCGAAAGCCTACTAATTTTTCAGTCTTCCGAATATAATTTGCCGCTAATTTCACACGTGTCTAGATGCCCTCTACCCAGACAGGCGAAAAGGACCGAAAATCCACTCATAGAAAATGGAGGAAAAAAAAAAGAAAAAGAAAAGTCTTTTCTCTTACTTTCATTTCAATTTATTGGTCTGTTTTTATCGTCAATTTAGATCTACAGAATGGATCGGAAATAAATATAACCCTATGGTGAGACAGTCGAATCTATCTATACATATATAAAGGGCAGTTGTCTGTATGTGTGTGTGTGTGTTTGCGTGTATGTATGTGTGCGTATGTGCGTGTGTATGTGTGTGTGTATGTGTATGTGTGTGTATGCGTGTATGTGTGTATGTATGTGTATGTGTGTGTATGCGTATGTGTATGTGTGAGTATGTGTATGCGTGTGTGTATGCGTATGTGTGTGTGCATGTGTGTGTATGTGAGTGTATGTATGTATATGTGTGTGTGTGTATGTGTGTGTGTGTATGTGAGTGTGTATGTGTGTGTTTATGTGTGTGTATGTGTGAGTGCATGTGTGTGTATGTGTGTGTGTATGTATGCATATGTGTGTGTTTATGCGTGTATGTGTGTGTGTATGTATGTGTGTGTATGTGTGTGTATGTGTATGCGTGTGTGTATGCGTATGTGTGTGTGCATGTGTATGTGCGTGTGTATGTGTGTGTGTATGTGTGTGTGTTTATGTGTGTGTAAACACACACACATAAACACACACATGTGTGTGTGTGTGTGTGCGCACGCGCGTGTCCGGTTAAAACTACAATAAAAACTACAATAGTTAGTGACAAAGTAAATATGTTTCCAGACTCATTATCACCCAAGCCAGCTTTCTGTAAAAAAAAAAAAAAAAAAAAAATGATTTGCATCTCCGAAGAGATTTTAAAATTAAATTGAATTAGAATGCATTCGAAATTCTCAGTATTTAAAAAAATAAAAAAGAACGGTAAGAATCCTTATTCTCGAATCGGATTACCGTCCGTTTTTACTTTTTTATTCTGCTAAATGCTATGCCAGTATGAATTTTTAAAATTTCTATTCTCCTGAATTTATTTTAACATCTATAGTAATTAAAGCATGACTTAAAAAAATGAATATTAAAACAATAACGTAAATTCAAAAGAAAAAATATTAAATATATTTATTTGGCAAAAAATTTAATATTACTTATTTAAATATTCGCGCGCGCGCTCGTGTGTGTGTGTCCATCTACAAAATAAATATACAGACAAACCACCCATCAATGGACTTCGGATGCAACGGAAAGATCTGCAGGCAAAATAAAAAAAAAAAATCTGCAAGCACAATAAAAAAAAAAAAAAATCTGCAGGCAAAAAAACTTCAAAATCGTCAACTATGTATTTCAAAATTTGCAGGCTTAGCGGAACGAATCATATTAGTTCTCAAAGTGACCGCTTGGTGGCGGTGGTTGGCCTTTCACTTGTAAACAAAGACAGAAAGTACGATATATTAGCACGTGCGTGAGAAAGTAGCAGTGAGAAATCTATTATTTTTGTTATTTTGATTAATATATCTATATTAAGTATATATTTATTTATGCCATACTAGCAACATGGCCCGGCGTTGCCCGTGCTTGATTCAAAAATCGTACGACTCATACAGCAATCGCTTTCACTCGACTTAAAATATTTTTGCCCTTCCTTGCCTTTAAAGGAGTGTCCTTTGCCGTGCTGATGTTACTACATGCCTTACTTCTTGCCTATCTCACACTGCGAATTTTTTCTAAGCTCTATACTAAACATTAAATTTGTTACAAAAAAAGAACTAAACAAAATGAACACAAAACGATCAGCTTTAAAAAAGGACTCGTAACTGGAAAAACCGAACGAATAAAGAATGTTAACAACAAATACTTTTTCACACCCAACCCAGTTCTGCGGAATCAGAATCAACGTTGATTTTAAGCAAGTGAATGAGCCAATTGGAGTAAAGTGCCATGCAGATTTAAATTTTTCCCACTTGTGACGAATGCAGCTATCGATTTTTTTTGCATGCTAGCATGCTAGTTAACATTCATGTCAGTCAGCTGGCCAATAGTATCTTCCAGCCTATTCGTGGCAGCCAGCTATTGGCTCTCACTCTGGCCAGTAGAAAATGGCCGCAAACCACATGAAAACTGCCGTTGAAGCATGAAAAAATCGATTATTTCCACTATCGATGGGAGTTGGGAAATGCAAAGTCGGTCTTGGCCTTTCTGCTATCTTGGAGCATGTGCATGTAAATTTTGGTGCAAATCCGTCGGAAATTGCGGCCATGCATTCGTTACACACACACACACACACACACACACACACACACACACACACACACACACATCCTGCCTTTTATAGATAGAGATATAAGTGTAAAGATTATTTTATGTCTAGAGAGATCTTATAATGTCAAAAACCATATTTAGAAGATCGTAAACAGGTTTTCTATTTTTTTAACTATGAAAATATTCAATTTATAAATAAAGAATCCTACTTCGCGGAAATTCACTTATCGCGGATGGGTCTGGAAAGTATTAACCGCGATAAACGAGGAACGACTGTAATTGTTCTGATGAACTTTCCTCTATGGTACCTAGACTTTATGAATTTAAGCGCATTACTAGATTGGCGGCTAGGTCTCATCATTTTACAGTTGAAATGTCGAGATGCAATCATAAGTTCGATGCTAACTTCTCTCTTGTGGAACTCTCATCCGGGTTCTTCCCCCCTCCCCCAGTCAACTTTGTCTTCAAAAAGTTAAATACAACGCCAGTCGCTATCTCCTGTCTTCATAATCTGTTATGGTTCTCTCTCCTTAATAATGTTTTTCTTTTTCTCATATGTCCTCACACTCAGTGCCCCCTCCCTTTGCGTCTTTGAGGCTTTATTGCCTTGCTTAGTGTAAAATGATTTTTTTTAAATAGACTCGTGTTTATTCGGGTTTTTTTTTTTAACGGAGGTCATGATTTAATCAAGTATTTGTGCGTGCAGGCCAAACAAGTTTGTACGTATATGTAAATATTGACCTGTGTACGTATATTTTTTTTGTTATTTTGAATAATAATATTAAGTATATAATTACTTATGCCATATATACATGTTTATAGCATTTACATTATAATCATAACTTCTGGTAGTTACTATAGTGGTTCTATATCTAAAAAATAACCCCTTCCATCTACGGACGATCGGTTTTAACGGAACCTCACTAGTTGATGAGAGGTTTGTGTGTATATACAGGCTAAGTATCACCCTAAAGGGCAGTTGTTTGTATGTATGTAAATGTGTGTGCGTATTATTGACGTATTAATATTTTTCGGCCATCTTATAGAAAATATTTTTGTATTTAATCTTTAAAAAGTAAACATCATTGTTTTTTGGTTTGTAACTAACATAAACATGTAAATAATTTTCAATTAAGTTTTATTAAAGTAAAAATCTATAAGGAGCCTTATTTTTTCGAAAATTAATTTTAAATAAAATATAGTTAAATTCGTAAAACAAACATTCAACACGACGAATGTCTGTTTCTCTTAAGTTTTATTTGAGTAAAGTTTTGCTTTTCTTTTCAAATACAAACATAACTTGAAATTTAAACACTCGCTTTTCAAAACGAAATTCTCAACGTATCTTTGCCTCTACTCTCTTTCAAAATAGTAATTAAATTCATTTACAGGAAAGTGTTTGCTAATATAATGTTTAAAAGTAAAACTTTATTTACTTAAATAAATAGTAAATAATTATTATTCAAAGAAGTAAGGCTCGCCATAGTTTTTGCTTCAAAAAATGATTAAATTAAATGCTTAAGTATATCTTAATTCAAGTTTATTTACTTTTTTATTAATAATAATTTGAAAAAAGTTTAATGAACTTTTATCTAAGCTTGATTTGTTTGAAAGCAACATTAACAGTGTATTTATGTTAGTATTTAAATCGAAAAATAAAGTGTCTTTTTGAATAAAAATATGAGGATGCTGAGCCCCCCCCCCCACTAAAAAACCCTCCACTTCGGAGTGTGGTATTGGTAGTGTGGTATTTTCCTAAATTTACTTATTTTGTCACAAACAAAAAAGACAATAAAGTTTATTTTTTAAAGATTGAATAAATACTATTTTCCATATGATGGCTGAAAAATATCAATAAATTGTCAATAATAAACTATTATTTAGAAATTTTCCTAGCAATGCCGGGTATCCCCGCTAGTAAAGTATAAGCCTATCGTGAGACAGTCAAATAAAGCATAAGCCTATTGTGAGATAGTGAAATAAATTATGAGCCTATCGTGAGACAGTGAAATAAAGTATAAGCCTATAGCGAGATAGTGAAATCGACGTTTTAATATTGATATTAAATTCATTAAGGAAGGCACCGTAGTTTTTTCTTTTCTTTTCTTATCTCTTTCTTTTTATTTTCCCAAGTATTTTCAGTCACATCCGAGATCATCTTCAGGGATGAATTGCTAAGACAAAAATAATTAATGTAACTGATAGTTGTGATTTGTTTTGATAAACACGCATGAATGTGCTCTGTTATAATTACTTTAAAACTAATTGTTGAAGCTATAGCAGTTTTATATGTTTTTGATCTAAGGGAGGTAAATCAAATTGTATGATTATCGTATATTTGATTTTGATCAAAAATATTTGAAAACGTTTTAAAAAACATTGCTATTATAAACATTTTAAGACATTTTTGTTGTCCTCATAACTAATCTTATTTACGATTGGTTGTTTGTTCCTTATATAGAGGACTTGGAAAATTTGAAGTTTTGTTTTTTTATTTTCATGGTGTAATATAATAGTGGTAGATTAGTTAGTTAAGTAGGCGTCAGTTCAGAATGAAAGACAAATTTGCTTGAATGTGTGTGTGTGTGTGTGTGTGTGTGTTTATTTTAAAACCGTTTGCTAGTTTGGCGTCTTCCGATCTCAATGAAAATAACGTGACAGCATTTTTTTGGTCGTTTTTCTTTTTGCACCAAAGTCTGCTGGACTCGAAAGTAGCCCACTCCCGACAGATCACTTTTAATCACTCCATCATCTCCCAAGCCGCGTTTTGCCACTATTGCATTTGTAATGATCGGTTACGTATGAGCCTGGGTCATATCATCGGGAAATGTGAGATCAGCACTTCTCAAAATATTTTCATTTTAGAGAATGAATCTATCTATCTATCTATCTATCTATCTATCTATCTATCTATCTATCTGCTTCTTTTTTCTTTCCTTCTATCTATCTATCTATCTATCTATCTATCTATCTATCTATCTATCTCAATATTGTTCTTTCTTTCTTTCTTTCTTTCTTTCTTTCTTTCTTCAAAAATATTCATCTCCTTCCCTATTATCTATCCCAATATTGTTTTTCTATCTTTCTTTCTATCTTTCATCTATCTATCTATCTATCCCTATTTGCTATCTATCTATCTATCTTTTCTATCTATCTATCTATCTATCTGCTTCTTTTTAATTTTCTATCTATCTATCTATCTATCTATCTATCTATCTATCTATCTATCTATCTATCTCAATATTGTGCTTTCTTTCTTTCTTTCTTTCTTTCTTTCTTTCTTCGCAAATATTCATCTCCTTCCCATTATCTATCCCTGTTTGTTATCTATCTATCTATCTATCTATCTATCTATCTATCTATCTATCTACGCCTGTTCATTATCTATCTGTCTCTGTGTGTGTGTCTGTGTATGTATGTGCAATGGTTGAAGCTTTTGATTGAAAGTTCAGCCCAATAGATGGCATCTAGAATTATACTGTTTTTTTTGTTTTTTTTTTAACGTTCGTGAATTTATGAAATCCTTTATTGTAAAGATATTAGATTAAACTCGAATATTCACCCAAATGTAATTATCCTCCCACTTTTCCTCCTCACTCTCTCTATCTCATCAACTCGCAATTACACGTTTTTCTCTCCTTCTTCATATTCTCTCCCTAACATAAGAACGTTGAGATAATGATTCTAATCTATTCTAATGATCTGGAAACGCAATGGCATCTTCTGCCGGCATCATTTCCCATTGTCCTAAATATTGACACTTCTCTCGCCATTATCGTTCAACATTTCTGTTATCATTATGAACCTGCCTCCCAAGCACCTTTTGCCTAAATAAGCGTTTATCTTTACTTATTAACCTTCTATTTTATTTTTTTTATTAGTTAAATTCCCTCGTTAACGTATAAGAAAAGTTATGTTTGGGTTAAATGAATGCTGACAGTGTCTGAATGAGTGTGATCGATAGATTTCAACCATATTTCTAGGGAACTCTTGGATTAAGTGCATTGACAAATAAAGATAATATGAAAAATAAATAATTGCTTTCCTTAAATTATTAGGCTGTATGACACCCAAGGAAATCCATGAGGACATGGCACAGACATTTGCTGAGGATTCTCCCCACCCCCCCCTACAACCGTGAAGAAGTGGGCTGCAGAATTCAAGCGTGGAATGAACTGCCCAGAAGATTACCCTTGGTCAGGTCTCCCCAAAACCTCAACTCCTGATGAACAGGTTGGTGCCATTCATCGTATGATTTTGGATGACAGACGTCTTACTGTCTCGCAGATATCTAAGTCCATATGAAAACAATAACACGTATCCTTTGGTGGGGTGAAAAATTAAAAAAAAAGAAGAAGCAAAACCGTACAACAATCATCCTATTTGCAATCTCTGCCAACAGGAAAAATTAGCGATTAGGTCATTTCCGGATCCAAAAACCTTTTAAACCAGAAATCTGAAGTTCTAAGTCCTTGCTTACATACCAAAAAAATTTTCTTATGTGCATATGAGGTTGGATAAAAAAAGAGTAATTTAACCGCCCCCCCCCCACCAATGCATTTACAATACACTTGCTGCTGCTGCTCTTCTTCTTCTTCTTCTTCTTCTTCTTCTTCTTCTCCTCCTCCTCCTTCTTCTTTTTCTTCTTCTTCATCACTTCCTCCTCCTCCTCCTTCTTCTTCTTCACTTCCTCCTCCTCCTCCTCCTTCTTCTTCTTCACCTCCTCCTCCTTCTTCTTCTTCTTCTCTTCCTTCCTTCCTCCTCCTCCTCCTGCTCTTCTTCTTCTTCTTCTTCTTCACCTCCTCCTCCTCCTCCGCCTTCTTCTTCTTCACCTCCTCCTCCTCCTCCTTCTTCACTTCTTCTTCACTTCCTCCTCCTCCTTCTTATTCTTCTTCACCTCCTCCTCCTCCTCCTTTTCTTCTTCTTCTTCTTCTTCTTCTTCTTCTTCTTCTTCTTCTTCTTCCAACGTCGTGTGATTGTTTGCTTATTTATTTTTGAAAAAAACAATGTAGCGTTCTTTAGTTTTAAAAAAAATATGAAAAAGCGTTAGGCGCCCATTTGATAAAAATTCGCCCGAGGATACCGTAAGGTTGAAACCAAGGTAACCGATTCAACTGACCTCCTGAACTCTACATGCTATTTCTACTTTTGTTTTTTTACACGTGTATTGAGTACTCTTTTAATACTACTATTTCCTGGTCTAATTCAACTCTGACCATTAATCTTTTATGTGTTATATATATATATATATATAAAATGGATATAAATCCGACAAATGGATATAAATCCGACAGAATGAAGAAAAATTGAAAAAATTTGTTGTTTCGGTTTAATAAACAAAAATCCAATTTGAAATGTACATAAAATTGAAAAGGTTTATTCAAACAGAAACGTCGACGTCTGACGTTTTTCATTTTAACTACATTTTTGTAAACCTTTTCATATATATATATATATATATATAAATATATATATATAATATATATATTCATATATATATAAATATATATATATATTGGATTTATGCATATTAAAAATGAACCATTTTGTAAAGATTGATTTTACTTATTTTCCAAAGAACGAATGATAAAGGGGACATTTTCAAAATTTTTTGATAAGGATTATCCGTAATTAATCGTTATATGTCTGTTGTTTTTAATATAATATACCACTATATATATATATATATATATATATATATATATATATATATTATATATTTATATATATATGTGTGTGTAATGTGTGTGTGTGTGTGTGTGTTTGTGTGTGTAATATATTTCAGAAACAAAAAATCCGTATGGATAATCCCAAGGAGGATGAAATCCTGACAGTTCATTTGAGCGAATAATTTATTTGAAGAAAAACAGACCAATTTTATTTTCTCTTATTTGACCAGGGAATTTATTTTCTTCTTCAGACTTCACAAAAGGTGAAACGAAAATGAATTTAAAATTTACACTTTTGACAGGCAGTAAGATTATATAAGTTGACATAGAAGGTTGAAGGAGTGGTGTAGACACATGGTCGAGAGAGGTGAAGTAAAAATATTTTTATATTTCTTTTATTATAATACGAATATTGAGGCAGGAGTGGGTAAGATCAAGATATATATATTTATATATAATATATATATATATATATATATATATATGTAAAGTGAATATAAATATAAATAA